CATCACATTCATCATATCTTTCAATGTGCGATTCTTTCGTTCGGCAACACCGTTTGATTGAGGTGAATAGGGTGCAGTACGTTCATGTACTATACCCACGCTCGCGCAAAAGTCACCAATCGGTGCTACATACTCACCACCTCTATCACTTCTAACCGTTTTAATTCGTCGATTAAGTTGGTTTTCCACTTCATTCTTATAAAGAATGAATTTATCGATTGCTTCGTGTTTATTTTTTAATAAATAAACATAGCTATAGCGAGTGCTATCATTGATAAAAGTAATAAATTATTTATTACCACCATGTGTTTGTATTGATTTAAAATCACAAACGTCACTATGAATTAAATCAAGTGGTTCCGTTTTTCTTTCAACCGATTTGAAAGACGTTTTCGTTAGTTTTGCCTCTACACAAACTTCACATTTGTGCTTCACATCAATTGTGAATTTAGGAATGTGTTCCATGTTAATTAATCTACGTATAGAATTAAAATTAACATGTCCTAGTCTATCATGCCACACATTGGAAGACTCAAGCAAGTAAGCAGAAGAGATTTTATTATTATTAATAATAATAGTCGTTACATTAAGCTTAAACAGCCCATCACATGCATACCCTTTGACCACATACATTCCCGACTTAGACAAAACTAGTTTGTCCGACTCAAAAACAATGTGGAAGCCATGCTTGTTCAACAACGAGTCGGAGATCAGGTTTTTGCGTATCTCCGGAACGAACAACACTTGGGTTGGAGTCAGCTCCTTGCCCGAAGTCATCTTCAAGACCACCTTGCCCACGCCTTCAACCGCGGAATGAGCAGAATTTCTCATCCACACCTTCTCACCATTTGATGGCTCAAAGGTCGTGAATAGCTCCCGGTTTGAGCGAATATGCCGGGTTACACCGGTGTCTATGAACCACTCCTTGGAATTGGATCCAATGAGGTTGACCTCGGTCACCACAGCCGCAAGGGTGATGTCTTCATCTTTTTTCCCACCTTGCACCAAGTTGACGTGAGAATCTTTCTTCCTCTTTGGCGCCTTGCAATCCACGGACTTGTGTCCGTTCTTGTTGCAATTGAAGCATTTTCCATTGAACTTCGTCTTGGAAATGCCTCCCTTGGGACCGAGCTTGCTCTTCCCATTATTTTTGGTTTCGGAGCCCTTTGCATGCTCCACCATGTTTGCCTTGACGCTAGTAACGATTGAGAGTTTCCCATCGTTCTTCCGATTATCCTCTTCAATCCGCAGACGGAGGATCAACTGCTCCAAGTTCATTTCCTTTCGCTTATGCTTAAGGTAGTTTTTGAAATCCTTCCAAGCCGGCAACAACAAATGTATAATTGATGCCACTTGGAAAGACTCGCTAACCGTCATTCCTTCATCTCGAATTTCATTGAAGATCATTTACATTTCTTCAACTTGACTCAAGACCGTCTTCGAATCCACCATTTTCAATTCAAGGAATCGGCCGACAACAAATTTCTTTGCACCGGCATCCTCACTTTTATATTTGTGGTCCAAAGCATTCCATAGCTCCTTAGCCGTAGCTAATTTGCTATACACGTCGTACAAAGCATCATGCAGCCCGTTCAACACGTAGTTTCGGCAAAGGAAGTTCGAATGCTTACAAGCCTCAACCGCGTTGAAAGATTGTGCATCCACCTCACCCCCCGGTTACTATCTACGCGTCTTCGGTCAAGAACCTATCAAGACTGAGAGTATTGGGATAGAAGAGCATCTTTTGCTTCCACCTCTTGAAGTTTAACCCATTGAATTTCTCGGGTTTCTCCATAGAGTTGCTTGGCACGGTAACCATAGGGATAGCCCTTTGGTTGCCCAAAGCAGATGCATCGCGTTGTGAACTATGGTTCACCGGAGCTCCGCTTTCAGATTGTGTGTCGTTTGGCACGTTTTGCCCACCAACATTCTGAATTTCTTGAGAAGCCATTTACGTTTCTTTCGTTTTTCGAAAATACAAAAAAAAAATAGTTCATTCACCAAAGTGACAAACTACGGTTTTAAGATTGTATCCGTGTGATACAAGCTTAACAAAATACCTTTTAAGATTGTATCCGCAGTAACACAATCAACAAATACGTTTTAAGTTTGTATCCGTATGATACACGCTTAGCAAAATACGTTTTAAGTTTGTTGGGTGTGTTTCGAAAAACAAAGAAAATTAATTAATAAAATTAATTAATTAAAATGACTAAATAAAAACAGAAAATAGACGAAGCAGAAATAGCCAAAGCTCATGCAACACACGATATCCTTAAAATGTATTTGTTGCCCCCGGGGTGCTAGGAGCTTTGCAACGATCGTTTCCCAGGATACGATGACTACGAACAATAGTTTGAGCACTCAAACAAATTGTTCTGACGAACGAGAACAAATAACGAACACGAAGGAGTTTTTCAGAGAGCTGGAGGTATTTTTAGCTTAAGAAATTCATGAGGAATATATTGTGCGTTGTTTTTTTTGCAAACCATCTGCCAGCCTTTATATAGGGAAGATTTGTTGTACGTTAATTACTTTTTTAATGGACATTACCGTTGGACATCAATGTCCAGCACGTTGGCATTGAATCATCCGTAACTGTCCATTTAATTGCATGAACGTTGGACATTTATTATCCTGTAACGGCAGCAGTAGGCTGCCGCGAGCAGCGGACTCAGCAGGCGGCTACCGTGAGCAGCAGACTCAGCAGGCGGCTGCCGCGAGCAGCAGACTCAACAGGCGGCTGAGGGCAATGGGCTGCTCCAACCGGGCAGTAGGCTGCTCCAACGGGTGAACCACATATCGAATTGTAGCCCTTAGCAAGGACAATCCAAAACCACTTTGATCCAACCCAAATCAGAAGTGGACCCCACTCAAATAATTGCCCCAAAAAGACTATTTAATGCAATTTCTTAACACATTTTCCAACATTTATTACATTCATATCTATTATTTGTCGCACAACTAATAAAAGATGAGATTTTCTAGTTTCATTGTGTATATATGGATAATGGATGTACTAACTATAGTGTATGAATGCAAGTTCATGATAGATTTTAATAGTCTTGTTTGATTACTATCAGATTTTTTCGTAATTAATTATTTTTCAGATTAAGTATTTTTAGGTTAAATGACATCACCTAGACGACTCTAGACTGAGACGCCGCTTTAAAGTTTCGTATATCGATGAGAATGAAAACATCCTAAATTTTTGATACGTGGAGAATTAGTTTTCTTAGCAAGTAGGGCTGACAATATCACCCGCACCTGTGGATACTCGATCAACCTGAACCGAAAATATGGATGAAAATCCGAAAAAATATGGATGAAAAATGGATGACGGGTAAAGACGGGTTGGATCGGGTGTGGATGAACACTCATCCAACCCGTCACCCGACTCGTCACCCGCTCCATCCATCCACCCGCTAATCTACATATAAATGTATATATAATAATTAAGATTAATATATTAATAAATATATATTTGTTAATGGAAAAGACACATATCTATAAATTGGTGAAATAAAGACAATTGAAGAGTTTCAAGAAATGGCAGTTGAACTACAAATATAGTTTTGTGTTGATCCAAAAATGTAGAATTTTAAAGCTTGAAGAAGTTTTATGTCTATTTTGTTTGACAATCGGTTCTTTCTTTATTGGCAGTGAATTAGTGATTATAATATACTTAATTGTTCAAGTTTTAGTCGTTATTATTCAATGAATTCTTAATTTTTAGTTTTTAATTGTCATGGTTTATCTTTATAATAATTTATTTATTTTGTCCTTCAAGTGAGACATATATATTCACCATTACTCATCCGATTCACCCGATAACCCGTTCCTGATGGATGAGTTGAATGTGAATATAACTTTTAATGGATGATGGACGAATTAGTGAATTATGAAAAATTAACGGGTGGACGTAGATAGCAGATATAAATATGATTCGGTGCCGCGCACTTTAGCAAGAACATTTTTAATGAAGAATAGGGCTTGTGGCCCATGTTTTCTCTATTCAAACATAATAAAAAAGCCATTAAACCCAAATTGAAGCAATTCAATGGTTGAAATCAGAATTTCTCCTCCATGAAAAGAAGTGTCGATCAAAGAAACCTTGCCGGAATATTCTCTGCTGGTTCAGGATGAGTCTATGAGAGCATACTAGCACCGATCAAGCAGGAGAAAAATGGCGCTTAATTAGCAGCGGGAATGAAAAGCTACCAAAACGTCATCGTGATGAGGCATGGGCCGCGCCTCGATAACTTTGCCAAGACCTGGACTAGCGGCGCAAACAACGACCGTCCCTGGAACCCACAGCTGTACGACGGCGTCGAGTACAAGAACCTCTACTCAAAGACGGCGAAGAAGATCCGGGAATAGGAATTAGAAAAAGTTCTGCAACTTAGGCTAGGAAGTGGTGATGCACATCTTTTTTTTTTCAAAAATGTAAGTTCGGCAACTTACAGCTGATCTTTACTATTCAACAAAAGATCAGCTTTTTCTATTTTGATCTGCGGTAAAGATTAGGGGCTGTTTACTTCTCTCTTTCCCTAAGTCCTGTCTATATTAATATTTCTATTTGGATGATTTATCAAGTCTGCTGAAGCTTGTGTTAGGGATTGTTTACTAGGTGTGTTGAAGTTTGAGGGGTGTTTCGATTTGATTCTTAAAACTTCTTTTGCTCTTTCAGGGAGCAGAAGTTGAGTGTTTGGGTGAAAGTGCAGAACTGATTCTGGTGCTCTAATTTACTCCTATAATCAGTTTTTTTAGAAGTTGGGCGTGACCTGGATTGTTTTTTTATCAAAAGATATTTTTTGCTCATATGGTTTGCTAGCTGCCAATTATTCTTCATATTATGTGTTTGTAGTATTTTATTTTTCTTAAATCTCTATGTTTGGATGCTTATACAAAACCATATGACCCAAAATTTGGTGTCCTTATTTATGGAATTTGCCCTGTGCGTTAAATTATCAGGTACAACTCTGAAATTATGGACATACATTCTCTTGTTTGTTTTATTTAATGGCAAGATTTACAGACATATTTGCTACTTCCAATATTGTTTTCTCATGGGACCTCCCTCTCACCAAAACTGGAATTTAAAGATATCTGGGGGACCAAGATCAATTATCTAACATCACTAAGCGGTTAAACTTTTTGATCTTATGGAGTACTCCTTTATCAGCTTTGAGAAGAAAGAATCCTCCTGTTCCAATAGCTTTGCTGGCGAGTCAAACTCTGCTACTCTACCTGTCAGTTGAAGGGATACCAAATAGAGTCACATTTTGTATATTAGAGTTATGCTTACTATATAGGTTTATAAACCTAGTTTTACTTACCTTCACTTAGCACTAGGACAAGGTCACTTTCTATGACGGTATGGATCCTGTGGGCTATAGTGACCACCGTCCGATCTTTGAACTCCCCACTGATCACCTTCTGAATTAATGCATCAGTTGTAGCATCAACTGATGCTGTTGCCTCATCCAGAACTAAGATTGTGCTCTTCTTCAACAAGGCTCTTCCAAGACAGAGAAGTTGCCTTTGTCCAACACTCCAATTTTCTCCATTTTCAGCCACTGCCATTACCCATATGATAATCCATGTGAGCAACCTTGATCAGATTTGTACTGAGTAGTAGTACTTTTTTCTTCCAATCATAATAGACAAGTGTCCTTTTGGAACTCGGAAATTATTATGGAAAGAAAGTTTGGGAGAAAATAAATGATAAGCTCAATATTAATAGTTTTGTTTGAGATATTTGTTCAATCTCTTTTTATTTATTTACTCCTATTATATAAAAAGATATGAAATATGAAATGTAAATATATGTAAAATTTTAGAAAAATTTAAATTGTATTTCATATTTCTTTGCATTTTCCACGGTAATACCATATGAGAGAAAATCATTTTACTTATGATCTTGTCGTCCCCATTCCTAGCCTTTGCGAGATCCAAATACCTTAAAATCAACACTATTTGGTGATGTCAGGAAGGCTAACCTGTAGATTCCAGCTTCTCAGTCTTTGAACGTATTATATCACCTAGTTGGCATTTGTCCAGAGCCTGCATAAATTAAGGCAATGAGATGCTTTACCTAATAACTCCCACTCATGTCGTCCAAAGTTATACCCCCTCCGTCCCGAATTGTAAGGCACTTTACGGTTTACGATGCTTGACCGACGATAAAGCAAACGGATCTCTGTCCGTACTCGAATTATTTTTAGAAAAAAAAGAATTACATATTCATAAACTATATTAAAAGCTTTACAAAGTCACAAAAACCAGAATCAAATTTGATAAAATTTTGATATATAAAGTAAGAGATTAAGAGTGAATAGGAAAAGTATCTTATAAAATGAGACGAAGGGAGCAGTACTTATGTAATGTTTTTGTTGAGATAACTACTTTAAGGTCACAAAAACCTAGACATTTTCATTCTTTAATACGGAGTACAGTTTAGGTTAAAACTGTAAGAGTATGCACCATGAAAGGAATGTATGTCTCTACCTCCCAGATTTGATTATCGGAATATTTTGCTATTGGATCTAGGTTTGCTCTAACTGTTCCCTCAAACAGCGTTGGATCTTGGGGAATAATGCTAAGTCTTGATCTCAAGTCATGAAGGCCTATCTTGCATATATCCACATCATCAATGATAATGCTTCCCTCTCTGGGCTCTACAATCCGGAAAATGGCCTGGATCAGGGTGGATTTACCACTTCCAGTCCTTCCAACAACTCCAATTTTCTTTGTCCCTGGAAAGGTGCAGGTAATGTGTTTCAACACTGAAGGAAGATGCTCAGCATAGCGTATCTGCAGAGAGAGGGATAAATGTGATCTTGAATACGGTTAAAAAACTAATTTTCTGCAAGAATTTCCAAAAGAAAAAAAGAAGTAGCATTTATTTACTTGCTTAAATGTTATTAATATGTTTATTATTCATATTGCATGATATCCACTAGGACTTCCATAACCTTACAGATATTCTTCAAGATGATATTTAAGTAGAGTCAATTTAGGGTATGTTTGGAACCCAGAAAATGCCATGGATGTTTTACTGTGCTTTCTTCTAACATTGAAAATGCAAAGAAAAATAATATGATCTGTATGATTAATATCTTAAAAAATAATTAATTCATGTTTCAGTTTGCTTTTATATAACAGAAATACGTAAATGTAATGACTAATGAGTTTAAAAACTTCAAACATAAATTTGAATCTTCAACCTTTTTGTTTTTTATTTTCTTAATAGGTGGGCTCCTAAAGAATAAAAAAATGACAACCATTGTTATTGAAAAACTGAAAACCACATTAAAGAAGTTACCTGCAAATTTTTGAATGAAATTGATCCAGAGTCTGGCCAGTTATCTGGAGGTCTACAATCTTCAATAATCATGGGCGCCTCGCTGGCTAGATTTGAGTACTGCAGGATCCTTTCTACTGATATCATTTTATTTTCTGCATTGCAAATATTCCATATAACTGAAGCTTGCAGCACATTCAAGTTTATGCCGTATGTTACGGCCAATCCTGCGATGCCTGCATATAAAGTGTAAACCATAGAATTCGAATCAATATGTCACATGCGTTATTTAGGTGTATAAATAACAAAAAAGTAAAATACGTGTATACTTACTTGGATCTATGAATCCTTCAGGAAGTGAAACGAGCAAGACTAGAGAGAAAGCAAAGACAAAATTAGAAAGCTGATTCAGTCTGAACGAAAGCCATTCCATAGCTGACACGTTGTGAAACCATGGCCTTGAGTGGTTGTCAATGAGACAAAGGTTGGCATCAACAAAACGTTTTTTTTGGTCGAAGGCACGAATAGTTGCTGCTCCTGAGAGTGATTCTGCAAAGTGGTGAAGAATTGGAGCTCTTTCTATTCCAGCTAAACGAGCCAATTCCCTTGCAGTTGGTATGTAGTATTGCTGGACACGTTTGCAAATGGCTTTGTTTGATTTTGTTTTGACAAAAGAAGTTAAAGAGGTTTTATCAAAATGATTGCACTCTGTTGTGACCCTAGCTATAAATTTGTCAATGCATGTTCTCTCCTCACAATCTTAGTTTAGTTTAGGTGGTCTGTTCGGAATAGGGAAATTCTAGGGAAAGAAAACAGGGAGGAAAGTATATGTCAAGTAATAAGAAGAAGTCGAAATATATGAAGAACTTTATAAAGTGTTGATCACAACTAAACATAAACTACACAAAAAAATATGGTTAGCATATCCCCCCTCCCCCTTACCATTTTCCTTGGACCAAGTCACCAAACAATGCCTTATAGGGTGTTCACCTGATACCAGACACAGATTGCCGTCACAGGAATGAAGATGACAAACACTTCCCATGCTGCCTGTGACATGACTGCAACTGTCCCAAGAAGCTGAATTACTGAGAAAGCGCACCACCCTAACTTGCCAGCCATCTCTAAGTCAAGCACACTTTGGTCCATAGATGCCTGCTCATATAATAAATAACCAAACTATATTGATTGAATAACTGTGAGGAAATTACATGTAGGCCTTGGTATCTGTAGGTGGTACCCAAAATGATCCCGTCGCTTGGACCATTCTCATATTATATCCTATATGTCATTATTTTTGTCTGGTTTGAGAATTCTTGGACATAATGTTCGAAATGACATTGGATTTCATCATGTGTCAATCATGAGTTCCCTAATTCGGTCCTTTTCGTTAAAATTGTTTTACTCCGTTTTTTCTTGAATAGAATTCTTTAAGCATAAATGACCTACTTTTGACTCTTTTATGGCCACATATGCATGACTTCACAAAAAATCAGATTGTGGAACACATGATGAAATTCAGCTGTATTTTGAATTCTACAGATTGGAAGTCCTCAACTTTGGGGAGGAATAACTCACAAGTTGATTTATTTTTTTATTTCATAGTTTCTAGCTTAAGGGGCCATGTTTTAGGTGCTACATAAAGGTACGGATAAAATATGCATTTTTCCCAATAACTCACGAAGTGATTTTTTTACTTTAAAAGATCTAGTCCAAGTTACTAAGAAGTTAATTATTGCTCACCCGATTTAAAACTCTTCCAGTGGGAGTAGAATCAAAGAAGGCCATTGGTGCATGAAGAATACTATGCAGCATGTTTCTGAACAGTTTTTCCGCTGTTTGAAGACCTGTTGTAGCCAATAAAGTGGAACGGAGTAGCACACAAAGTGCACTCCCAACTGAAAGAATTATATAAATAAGTAATATGAAGTTCATCTTTGTGGCTAATGGCTCTTCATCCCCACCTCTTGGGCAGGACCATGCCATCCAATAATTGCTCGCCACCTGTAGAACTTGGAAAGACAATTGAGCTAGGATGATGACTGGGACAAAAGCACCACGTTTCACAACGGTCATGTAAGAAAAATAAACTTCTTTTCCAATGCTTCCCTTTTCTCTTTCTTCATCCTGCACTAGTTTCCCATCCTTCTCTGTTATCTCAATGCTCAGGTTATGTTCAGAATCTTGCTTGATACATGGGAATTGTGAATCCACAGAAGTATCAGTGTCAAAGTCACCATTAGTGACCATATTCTCTGATGGTCTGCTCGAGTTCTCTACTGTTAAGATTGACTCCAGAGCTTGGTTGTGAGCTCCAACTAGAACCTCAAATCCAATGTTATGCTTTAGGAGGTCTTCAAACGTGCCGGCTTGTGCAACTTCTCCATTTTGCATGACCTATTGAGATTACTTGAGATTCAAATTAGAATACAAAATACAATTTGAAATCAGTCATTCTTAGGTGTAGAGACTACACAAAAATAATGCATGAAGTGCTTACCAGGATGAGATCAGCCGCAGGAAGAAATTCAACTTGGTGAGTGACATAAAGTATGGTTTTGTTGTTGAGGGACCCAATCAAACATTCCTGCAATGCCCCCAATGTGTAACGTAAGTCACAAAACTTTCTTGGTGTTTCTATTTTAGGGAAAAGGGAATATTGAGCTGTCTTAAGTTGTCAGGCCTAAATATATTTTGGCAAATGTCACTGTACCCCACAAATAAGTTAGGGTACCATACCTATAATGCATATGGTAGATCCGTGTCATTATTTTATCATTGATTCATTTCTTCACGTGGACAAGGTACGATAACTCGGAGGTACAGTAAAAATTGTCATATTTTTTTCGTTCATGAAAATAGAATGTGGATTCATTTTTTGGGTAACCATCCTTGTATTTTTTTTAGCCCCTCTCCGTTAGCTCCACTAAAAAACAGACTGGGCCCACAGGAATCTAGCCTTTCCACATCAACTTTCTAAAACCCATTGATGATCATTAAGGGAGTTGAAGCTAAGCAAATCTCATCATTTTCATTTTCAGTGTACGCCTCTCTGACTGTTCTGGAATAAAATAATTTAAAAGCTGTTGTGGAAAACCCAATCTTGAGTTATTTGATCCACGGATTTTTTTCCCGAGGGGATATTGATGGAGCAGGTAGACTAAAAAGGAAAAAAATGTAACCCAGGTAATTATGGAGGGGAGAAGTGCATGACCTTGAAAGCACTGAATCACTTGCCTTAAACAGATGTGAGCCTGTATGAGCATCCACAGCACTGAAGGGGTCATCGAGCAGATATATGTCAGCATCCTGGTAAACAGCACGGGCAATTTGTATCCGTTGCTTCTGACCCCCACTCATATTTATCCCTCTTTCGCCTATTTCAGTCAGGTCACCGGCAGAAAACAGTTCAAAGTCCTTCTTGAGGGCACATGCCTCGACTGTTCGTTCATACTTCTCACTATCAAAGGATTTCCCGAAAAGAATATTCTCTCTGATATTTCCTGTTAGTATCCAAGGAGACTGAGGAACGTATGCCATCGTACCACTAATCTTGACAGTCCCTGACAACTTTTCCATTTCTCCAAGGATGCAGGAAAGCAGGCTGGATTTTCCCGACCCTACAGTCCCACAAACTGCCACCTTCATCCCCCTCCTCACTCTTAGCTCTATTCTGTCAAGAGTTGGGATTCTTGATTGTGTTGTGTTCCATCTGAACGTTCCGTTATTGATCAAAATCCCGAATTCTGTTTCGTGTTTAGGAACAAATTCAACCACGTCATGTTGAATCTCATCTTCTTGCAGGTAAGAAGCGATCCGATCAGCCGAGACTTTTCCCTGTGCAATGACAGAGAGTAAATCAGGCAAATTGAAAATAGGATCTTGAAGCATCCTGAAAGTAGCAAGCGCAGACAAGACTCTCCCAGCTGTGAGAGGGATCCCCATTAGAACACAACCAACAAAAGTTGCAACGGAAATGAATGTGGGAGATCCCCAGAAGATAAAAGCTGAGATTGCAGATAATCTAAGTGATTTCCAGAGCCAATTATGCTCGATATTTCTTAAACTCTCGAGTTTCCGAAGATAGAAATCATCCCATGCCTGAAGCTTGATAGTTTTCATGTTCTTAAGAACTTCAGAGGTGGATTTCATCCTTTCATCCTTAGATTCCATGATTTTCGTTTGGTAACCTTTCTGAGTCCTAGTAAGGGGTATGTTTATGGTCATCACAATCATTGTTGCTGCTAATGCCACCAGTGAGCCCATCCCAAGATTCATATGTAGAACACATATCGCTAAGGTTATCTGGATGGGAAGCATCCAGATTGTGTTAAGGTACCATATCAAATCAGTGATTCTCTGAACATCGACACTCATCAGATTGATGATCTCTCCGCTGGAGTGGCTTTGGCGTGATTGGCTAGAGAGGATCAGACCCTTTTGGTAAATGTGGGATATAAGAGCCGCCCTTAACCGTAGGCCAAGCTGGCGGGCCCCAAATATCCACTGCCTTTGAGCTACCGTCTCGACCATCTTGGCCCCTAGAAAACCCAATGCAAGAAGATATCCCCTCTGTAACCCTCTGAGTTTCTTCTCACCGAGGAAAGTAACAAAGTCATCGATGAGGTACGGGCCCACGTAAGAAGTTGATGCACTAATAACGGCAAACATGGCATTGATTGCCGCCTTTTTCCTTGAAAACACATAAATAGCCTTGTAGATGGACGAGTTTGTCGTTCTGTCCTTTTCCTTTACATATTTGAGGCTTTCGTCAAAGGAACCGGTTAAAAACCTAGCAGAGTCAAGGATGTCGATATTGGGAACCTCATCTGAGTCGAGCGGTTTCTTCTTCCCCGCTTCAAAGAGCTGATTGAGCCAAGAAAACGTCACCAGTTGAATAAGAGTGGCTTTACTGTATGGACTCTGCGTTTTACCATCCTGAGAATGATATCCATTGAGTAAAGGTTCTGTGATGCTGCTTGAGTCCTTTGGCGTATTTTTTGTCTTTCCTTGAATTGAAATGCAGAGTAAGCAGGAAGATGCTATTAGCAAAAAAATATCAGCATAGTCGTGCATTTGAAGAGAATCATGGTTCTGAATCAGCAAACAGGCATCCGTAGTTGCACGGGCCAGAGACAGTAAGAAGGTGGAAATCCACCAGAGTCTTAGGATCAAAGGTAGGTTGGCATTGTTTCTGCTTTTATATAGAACAAGCAATGTGACTGCCCATGATATTGCTTGACAAGTCTCTTTTAGGATTTCCCATTTGCAGTGAGTTCTGATGTTATTCTCTGGGACTGGTAAGAGTAGTAGCAGCAGATGAGTGGCTAGTGACAGAGTGGAGCAGACAATTCCGCACTTGTAGGAGTGTCCTAGTCTTAGGCTGATGGTGAGGTTTTTTCCTATTGGTGCTACTCTCTTTGCACCTTTCTGTTGCGATGGTTGGAATTTTCGTAGCATATAGAGCAGTATGAATCCAAGGAAGCCGAATTGCAGAAAAATGGATGTATCCTCCCACAAACATGGGGACATTTCTGGTGGCCATGGAATTCTTAGTTGCTCGAAGAACCTCAAATCTGTCATGGATGAATCATCAGCACCACCATTAAATATTGTTGTCATCATTATTGTTGACAAGTATGAAATTTTCAAGAACTTTTGCCACAACTATGGGATCAATAATGGGTTAACCTTTAAATCTAAAGATTAAATCTTAGAGGGTTTTCCTTAAATATGATTAAACTGTTTCTTATTTTAAAAACAGCGAATTGATTCCCACTTTCGTGCATTTTTTTTCATTTTCATTCATTTTCATTTACCCCAGTGACACAAAGGCTCCCACCTACGGTGGGGTAAGGGGGGGTCGGATGTACGCAGTCTTACCCCTGTACTAAAGCACAGAGAGACTGATTCCCACTTTCGTGCAATTTAAAAAATCTCTTACTAGATTAAGAACCAAGGTGTTATGGTTCTGTTTATTTTTGCATGTTCACAAATGACGAAGTCATGATAAAGGAGTTACGACCATATTTTTATTCTTGCATGACCGGCAGTGCCCGGGAGTGCACTATTCTTAATCACATGTATTATTCGTTCCTTTAGAAATATATTTCTTTCTTTCCCAAACAATTAAAAATATAACAATAAAAAACTTATAAAATAAAATAAAATATAAGTAAATTTCATGTTAGTCCACTTTAAATTATATAAAAGGTTTAGTATTAATGTAAAATATCGTATAAATTTTTCTTTATGACAATACTCCAACAGCTCAATTTTGTTCAGCCTCAGCTCGACTCCGCCTCGGAACCAAGCATTTTTCTTTTATAAATTTATCATGTTTTTTCTTTCACTTAGATAAATACTACGGAGTATATGATTTCCTTGACATGAATAGTATTTAATTTTAAATTGGGGTGGGTTAGAGCGTTTCATAACATTTAGTAATAATAAATTTTAATTAAGTCTTTATTTTATAATTATCTCAAACCTAATATTTTGCGTAATTTTATAATTATTTAGTAACGAAGATGTGGAAGACAAGGAAATAAAATTGTTATTGGGTGAATCATTACACATTTGTGTAAAATGTGGGAGAAATTTTTTCTCTCATATGTAATGCTTTTAAGTATTACGTATGAGATGAGATGAGATGAGATGAGATGAGATGAGATGAGATGAGATGAGATGAGATGAGATGAGATGAGATGAGATGAGATGAGATGAGATGAGATGAGATGAGATGAGATGAGATGAGATGAGATGAGATGAGATGAGATGAGATGAGATGAGATGAGATGAGATGAGATGAGATGAGATGAGATGAGATGAGATGAGATGAGATGAGATGAGATGAGATGAGATGAGATGAGATGAGATGAGATGAGATGAGATGAGATGAGATGAGATGAGATGAGATGAGATGAGATGAGATGAGATGAGATGAGATGAGATGAGATGAGATGAGATGAGATGAGATGAGATGAGATGAGATGAGATGAGATGAGATGAGATGAGATGAGATGAGATGAGATGAGATGAGATGAGATGAGATGAGATGAGATGAGATGAGATGAGATGAGATGAGATGAGATGAGATGAGATGAGATGAGATGAGATGAGATGAGATGAGATGAGATGAGATGAGATGAGATGAGATGAGATGAGATGAGATGAGATGAGATGAGATGAGATGAGATGAGATGAGATGAGATGAGATGAGATGAGATGAGATGAGATGAGATGAGATGAGATGAGATGAGATGAGATGAGATGAGATGAGATGAGATGAGATGAGATGAGATGAGATGAGATGAGATGAGATGAGATGAGATGAGATGAGATGAGATGAGATGAGATGAGATGAGATGAGATGAGATGAGATGAGATGAGATGAGATGAGATGAGATGAGATGAGATGAGATGAGATGAGATGAGATGAGATGAGATGAGATGAGATGAGATGAGATGAGATGAGATGAGATGAGATGAGATGAGATGAGATGAGATGAGATGAGATGAGATGAGATGAGATGAGATGAGATGAGATGAGATGAGATGAGATGAGATGAGATGAGATGAGATGAGATGAGATGAGATGAGATGAGATGAGATGAGATGAGATGAGATGAGATGAGATGAGATGAGATGAGATGAGATGAGATGAGATGAGATGAGATGAGATGAGATGAGATGAGATGAGATGAGATGAGATGAGATGAGATGAGATGAGATGAGATGAGATGAGATGAGATGAGATGAGATGAGATGACTAATAATTGAGTGACAAATTTTTCTATCTCATGTGCAATGCTTTAAGGTATAAGATTTTAGGTATAAGATGATTCGGTCATAATTGAGGACGAGAAATTTTACATATGAATCTCATCATATTTGAAATTATTATTATTAGTATTAGTATTGTTATTTTAATTACTACTACTACTAGGGATGTGCGCCAGTTCAAAATCGGACCGGACCTGAACCGGATTTGCCATGATATGGAAACCGAAAACCGAATCGGATGTATTCCGGTTTTTATCTGGAACCGAACCGGTTTATCTGCTTCAAAACCGGAACCAGACCGGAAAAACCGGTTTCTACATAAATAATTCTTTTCATTACTAAAAATGCTACTAATCATTTGATAAAGATGGAGTACTTATTATTAAAAATATTACTTTAATTATTATTGTTTTCTTAACTCGTTTTAATTAATTTTAGTGAGCAAATATTGGAGTAACTTGAGACTAGATTAATATATACTTCGTATAGTTAGTTTTATTATTACAAGAATAAAGATGAATGGATAAATATAATATTAGGATAATATATATTATAATCATTATGAAATAGATTGCTATTATATATTTTTGTTAGTGTGGAGTATTATTTTTTATTTTATAACTATTATTATATTAGTATTAGTAAATATATTTTTAAAAATATAGCAAAACCGGTTAAATCCGGTTCAAACCAAAATAATCCGATTTTAAACCGGAACCGGACCGGAAACCAGTTTCCTAAATTTTCATAACCGAAAACCGGACCGGATATCATTCCGGTTCGATCCGGTTCCGGTTTTTTCAATCCGGTTCGGTCCGGTTTTCTTATTTAAACCGGATAGTGCACACCCCTAACTACTACTACTATTGTCGGTGAATCGATCAAATCAAAAGTTCATACTATTCATAGAGTCTGTTAGGTAATACTTAAATTGACGGGATCGGCTGATTCACTGAAATTTATGAAGTTCTAACCGAAATGGCTGGATTTACTGATTTATGAAAAATTATATTTAAAATATACATGGTCAAAATAATAAACAAGCAAAGCATAATAATAAACCAGCAAAGCATAACTTATTGCAATTGAAAAGATATACTCTGTATATACAAAAAAAAAGTTCAAAGCCCTAACAATCTAACGGTAGAAGATAAATTAAAATTGATCCATTATATTAATAATTCATCCTCAGTATTACTCCCTCCGTCCCGTAAACAATTTCACACTTCATTTTCACACATATTAAGAAAATAAATTTACTATGGGGTAAATTTTACTATTTTGACACTGTTTGAACACTGTTTGACACTGTTTGGATGTCGAGAGTTTGCCAAATAATGAAGTGGGAAGAAATGTGAAGTTAATTTCGGGACTGCCCAAAAAAGAAAGTGAGAAGTTAATTTTGGGTAAGAGGAAGTATATTTTAATGTGCCCCAAAAATAGACTAGCATGTACTGTGTATCACAAACTCCGTATATAAATATATATATAGAAAATATAAAAAATAGAATAAAAATAAAAAAAAGCTCTTCAATGATTGATTCATCTAGTCAAGTTATTTATGGAATAAGCTGTAATGTTGCCCAACATTAATTTAGGCGAATACAATCACAAAAATAAATTCAATTTTACTTTTCTCATTGTTATATAATTTAAGACACGAAATTAAAAATTACGTGTTTAATTTGGTGAAAAAATTAATTGGTAAGAGTTTGATAAGTCGGTCACGACACTCTCTTAAATTATACTCCCTCCGGTTCTCAAACAATTTCCCACTTTCCCATTCGGGAAGTCCCGAAATTACCTTCACACTTCTTCTTATTTCCTTATTTGGCAAATTATCTACACTAAAACAGTGCGAAACAGCATCAAACAGTGTTCAAAGTTCAAACAGTGCACTCCACAGTAAAGTCAAATTTATTTTCAAAATTTGTGTGAAGTCAAACTGTAAAGCCGTTCGAGAACAGGAGCGGGTAAAAGATGGTAGCAAAGACAAAAAAGAAAAAGAATCGCACACTGTTTGTGCACCCCACTAAATTGATTCTCAAATTAGAACCAGTACAAACGCTCACTTCTAAGAACATCCCCACTGAATTGACACAAAGGCCACATTGTCAACATTTTCCAAATATGAATGACAACCATCATGATAGTGTGATAATGATGAGCTTGGATACCAATTACTAGTACAATATTTATCAGTACCTTTCAATAAGGTTTGGCAACTGCGATTAAGAAAATGTATTGTATGGTGTAAAAATATGTAAAAGATTCCATGAATCGTGATTTTTTGTCAAGATAATTCAGCGATGGTGGAAGTATCTTGTTACCATCTGCTCAAATCAAGGTTTTCCAAAATTCTATTTTAATCCTCAATCTTTAATATATTCAATCCAAATTATGCGTCCAATTAAGTAGAATATTATTTCTTAACAAGCACATTTTAGTGATGACTACGAACTTAAATATTACCAAATAATACAATTTAATTTTATCATCACCGAATAATAAACATATATGACAATGCCAAGTTAATTTGGAGGGGTAAAAATTAGTATCGTGTTGTATAGTTTGATAAATTCAAGATGACACAAGTTTTAAGAAAATAGGTGCTATATTTACACTATTTCATCTCAAAAAACTTTGTCATTGATCAACTATATATTTATAATATAAAAATTATATGAAAATGTTCTTTGTTAAAAGTACTTTCATAAACGTGTAACATTTATAACTTCCATAATATTATACTAATCAAAATCATGGTTCAATTTTTTTGAAATTAAAAAGTTTTTTGGGGCGGAGTTAGTATTATTATATAATTGTAAGTTTCTAGAAAGACAAAAACTAATAACGGCTTACAAAAATTAAAACATTAAAATTAAGTAAAAGAGTGAACTTTATCATTATATTATATTAGTGAAACATATCTTAAACTGAGAAAAAATGGCCTCTATATTACAACTATAGTTTTCATTTCCAAAAATATGACAATTTTTACATTTTCCAAAAATATAACTCGTTAAAACACCCCACCGGCTAAGCCTCCACTTATTTCCGTCGTCCCAACTTCCCCGAGCGTCTTCTTCACTCCCATCGAAGCATCAGCAAACCAGAGGCGAAGCATCCACCGAACTCGGAAACTCCACAACATCTCCATCGCGTCTGTCCCTGCAACGTCGCCAAGTTCACTAGGCCAACCAAACATTGAGTCGTCGTGACCTAGTTCCCAACCCTCCTTCCATCCCAGAAGCTGGAAGAATAGATCTGGTTTGCTTTCCATTCGATTCGATTTGATTTCCATTCGATTCGTTGTTGTCCTCGTTCGATTCGTTCTTCATCGTCTTCGTCCTCCCTCTTCTTCTCCTTCTATTCTCCTTCGTGCAGGGCTGGGGCAACATGTGGTGGGGTTGGGGTTGGGGTGTACTGGACCTAAGGTTCGGTGGGGCTGGGGTGCGGTGGATGGCCGGAGTGGTGGCTGAGACTATCACAGGGAGATGCAGTGGGGAGGGCGCAAGCACAAGGCATTCAGCGACGTCCATGGAGTTGTAGAGGGGTTAGAAACCTTGAGATGGTGGTTGGGGCGGGGTGGTGCAGTGATTGTGGTGAGGGGTGGGGCAGTGACGATGGTGCGGGTTGGGATCTGGTGTGTAGGCTAGCGGCATGGCTGGGGGCTGGGGGGCTGGGTGGGGATCTGGTGGTTAAGGCTCGGAAAATGTGGACGGTGTAAGGGTGGAGGTTGTGGATGGGGTAGGGGTGAAGGCGGTGGACGGGGCAGCGGCGGTGGCTAGGGACAGGCAGAGGTGGCTTGGGCTGGTAGGGACATTGACGAGGTGGCGGCGTGAGTTACTTTCGGTGGGCGGTGTCACTGAAAATCGGGCGGCGGCAGTCACTATAACCAGAGCAAGTCACTGAGCGGAGCAAGGTGGTCACTATGGCCTGAGCAATTCACTAAGCGTCGGTCACTATGACCGACGCAAGTCACTGAGCGGCGGTCACTATAGCCAGAGCAAGTCACTGAGCGGCGGTCACTATGGCCGGAGCAGGTCGCAGGGCGGTGGTGCGGCAAGACTGCTGGATGTCATATTTTTGGACTTTTGAAACTTAACTCACTTAATTGGAAATCCTTAATTTAATAGTAATATTTGAATAAAAAGGCCCTAAACTGAAATTAAAACTTAATCAATGAACAAAGGCCATAGTTTTCTACTCCCTCCGTCCCGCTAACAATGGGACAAGAGGGAGTGACACGCAAATTAATAAAAAAGTGGTTTATGTGGTTAATATTGAATTGATAAAGTAAGAATAAAGTAAGAATGATTTAGAGCCACACAAACATTACCAAATTTGGTATGGGACAATCTTAGTGGGACAGACCGATAAGGTAAAATGGGACAATCATAGCGGGACGGAGGTAGTAATAGATAGTAGTCCCTAATTTTCCTATATTTAATTACAACACCGACCTACTAAATTAAAGATGTAGGACGATTAAACGAACTGGGCCGAAAACGTGAACAACTGGATAAACAATTTTGATGCGATGCTCAGCATCGATGGGCTACCCATGCCAACTCGTCTTTGAATAGCTAGATAATAGGAAAAAACGAAATATGACCAAAACGTTTGAGAATTATTCTTATCTTTTTTTAGTACTCCATTGTGAAAATTTGCTGCTATGTTTTCGTATTCTCAAACAGGAAATAAACATGTCAATATTTTCTCATAAGTGGCAGTGTTTTATAGGCAAATTATACCGTGGAATCGGTATACCATACGCATGGTATACCGATTTCGATACGGTATCGTTTTTTTTAAGAAACAAAATATACGTTGCATGTTACGGTTAATTGGTCATGTGCTCTCTCCACTCACATGTACACTTGAATGTCCTTCCCCACCCAGGCACCCACGTCTTTTTTTTCCTTTTCTTTTTTATGGTTAAAGAGAATGATACATTCTCTCTCCTTTCTAATTCATTTCTCACACTTTTCTTTGCTTATATGTAACAATACTCCAATATTAATAAAAGATGTTTGTTTTCCTAATACTCCAAGTACATGATAACTTATGTTTTTTGCGTTGTATAATTGAATTGATAATGCGAGAATGGATTTATGTAAAACATGGAAGTGACTATAAATACGAAGAGACATTGAAATAGATGGAGGTGGATGGTAATATTCCTCATTTTAATTAGGAAAAAACATATGCAATCATATACGTAGTATTAGAAAATTAAACACATGTCTTTTAGTACTATTAAAGACAATTTTCTCTTGCTTATATAGTTTAATTAATATTAGAAAAAACACATCCATGGTAAAAGAGATTTAATTTAAGGTGGTAAAGTTTTATATATTGGGTATGTGCAGGGCCGATCCTAACATTTTTTTGGCCTGAGTCGAATTTTTATAAAAGGCCTTTGAATAATGTAAAATTTGAATATTAAGATTTGTAAGCAGTAATTTAATTAATATGTCTACATCATATAATTAATCCCACTGGATGATATTATTTTGATTAATATTTTTTGTATTGTTGTTATTTTAATAAAATAGAAAAAGTTGTATATACTACGTACATAATACTAGAATACAGTTATTTATGGGCTCTTATTATTTACCAATTTTTTTGGGCCTGAAGCGATTGCCTCTTTGCCTCAAGGAAGGGTTCGGCCCTGGGTATGTGGAATTTGAAAGAAGAAGAATCTAGACAGATCCATAATATGAAACACAGTAAAATACAGTGAAATAATTAAAGAACCTAGAAAATGAATATATATAAGTTTATTTATAGAGATGATACTCCGTATTAGCTAGAGCGCATAGAAGCATATAACTTGGGTACATGCTGGAACGGAATTGTGTGAAACTAGGGTTGTAAACGAATCGAGTCGAATATTGAGATTTTGAATTTGTATTTATTTAATTTTTTCGAATACGAATTCGAATTCAAATATGAAATGAATATTAATTTTAATTTGTATTTGTATTTGTTTAACAATACGAATAGTTAACGAATCATATACGAATATTGAATCGATTTGAACATAGGTTAAAAATTAGTCAAATATCACTTTATAATAACTTTTCTTATACTCCGTATTTTTTATGTTATAAATGTATGCTATGACTTAATATATGTTTTTAGAATTTAAATTAAATGGATCAATGCATTTTTAGATGGTGCACAATATACTAAAGTAGGGTTGGGTTCGGTTTGGGACCCGAACCGATTTGTCGGTTTGTAGAACCGAACCGATTTTTCGGTTTTGGGGATAATGGAAACCGGAACCGATATAGATTCGGGAATCTGCTAGGCACATAAGGGTTTGAAACTCAATGGAGTGAGTTTCAACCCTGATTACTACATACCCCCAACCCCCCTCTCCCTGGAGTAAAAAAAAATATAAATCTATTTCAAACCTTTTGAAATAAACACTAACACAAACATATTTGAAATTATACCTATAATGTGTCAAATAAGTTGATAATTGTATATATCAAAGTCAAACAACTTTGATTCTATTCTTCAAGTCGAATACATAATTATTTGTATTGTATTTATAAGACATTTGAACCAAAAAATTGATTTTTATTCGTATTTATATTCTGATTTATTACAAATGGGCTGGGAATCTGAATGCAAAAAGTGTATATATGGGCTACACTTTGAGGGTATTACTATCTTTTAAAAATTATTATAGTGTTATTACTATTATTATTAATATTAATATTGATATTAATATTGCCATTATTATTAATCGGATATATTTGATAAATATTCGAATCAAATACATTGATATTCTTATTTGTATTTGATAACAACTCGAATAAAATTTAATATTCTTATTTGTATTCTAATTTTCCAAATTAGAATGGTCTTATACGAATTCGAATCGCGAATTAAGGATAAATTATTTGATTGGTTTTATTTATTTACAAAAAGACTGACTTTGGCCGGCCAACACAACATAGCTACTAAGCTACGTACTTAATTACTAACAAAGCAGCGCGCCTATCTAGCTATGATTTGTAATAAAATAGTAGATGGTATATTTTTAATTATTTAGATTTATATGTCAATTAATCAAGGTTGAAAGGAGAGATTATATATTGATGATATATACTAGTATTAGATATCATAATACATACTTGTAGTGTTGAAAGGCAGCATGGTTGGATATGATCGATGAGCTAGATGGATGGATCAAGCTAAGAGCACATTGGAATGATATCAGCACACAGTCTCCAGGTCAGGGAGAGATATGATGATAGGATGGTGGAGACGATGATGTATGAGAATTCACTTTTTTCCCCCATAGCAGAAAGAACACTTCAATTCAATTCATGCGAGAGCCAAACAAAAATATATCCAATTTTTTTTTTTTAATCTAACTAGCTACAAGTTAACAACTGCACAAGTTAGGCTCCACCACGTGTATGAATGCCCAATTGATCCATTATATCAATAATTCATCCTAAGTACTGTATTATATTTTGATGTCCCCCGGCCCAAAATTGACTACCATGTACAACGCGTATCAATGTACTCCGTATCATATATATAAATTCATATATAAAAAATTCATATACAAAAAATAGATCTTCAATGATTGATTCATATAGCCAAGTTGTTTATCGAATAAGCTGTAATGTTTCCCAACTGATGAGCTGTATGCTTATAAAAAATTTGGAGTTCGGATCCATTTGGCAATAGTGAAATTGACCGAATTGGTTGATTCTGCTGATTTATAAAAAAACTATATTTAAAATATTTTTTATTAATAAATAAAGAAAAACTATATGAAATATAACTAAAATTATCATCTACATTAACTTCAATGAATACGGTCAAAAAATAAATTCAATTTTCCTTTTTTTATATACAATTCAACGTGCGAAATTAAAAGTTACTCCTTTCGTCCCCCTAAGTTTGTCCCGTTTTATCTTTTTCGTCCGTCTCATTAAATTTGTCTCATACCATATTTGATAATATTTGAGTGATTTCAATTCATTCTTACTTTATTCACATTTTATCAATTTAATACCAACCAAACAATTTCACGTTTTCTTAAATGTTGTGCCACACCTATTATCCCAAACATAGTGGGACGGAGATATTACATGTTTCATAAACAATTTGACTATTAAAAACTTGATAAGCCAAAAAATAAAGTGACTAGATGGACTCTTAAATTATACTCCATATGTCCCAAATTGTTTTGCAATTTGGTCAACTAATAATAAAAGTCAATGCTCTCTATCGATAATTAATTGAACTTTTAATAATTAAAATTTATATATTCAAAAACTACATTCAAATCTTTTCAAAGTTGTAAATTCCAAATTACAATATAATTAAAAATTGAAATCTTAATTAATGAAATAAAATGAAACTTTATTAAGAAAAGTGAAAATTAATATGAAGGTGAGGTAGTAAAAGATGGCCAGCAACATAAAAAAGGAAAAAGAATTGCATGCTTTTGTGCAACCGCAGTCCCCACAGTAAATTCCAAATTCAAATTAGAACCGGTACAAACGCTAACTTCTAAAAACATCCACACTCAATTGACACAAAGGCCCACTGTCAACATTTTCCAAATATGAATTGACGCTAAATGGTTTGTAGGAAAAAAATCAATTCACCGAATGAATACATATTAATCGCAAATTATATCATACTACGGTCCTCACCGTACATCCGGGTATTTTTGCAATTAATTACAAATCTGGTGGTAAAGATTAGGGATGGAGAAGGCACCATCGCCATCTGTCTGCAATCACCGCTGCACAGCCTTCGGATGGAGGTTGTTGATTCCGAACCTAAGGCGGCGGATTCGAGCTTCAGTGTCTGGTGCGCCGTCGAATGAAGTTCGCAATCTGTCTGCAATCGCCGCTGCACAGCCTTCAGATGGAGGCTGTTGATTCCGAACCTAAGGCGGCGGATTCGAGCTTCGGTGTCTGGTGCGCCGTCAGATGAAGTTCGCCCGTCACTGTAGACCACGCCTGATGCTAAAATGAGTTTTATGTTAAATTAAAATGAGTATAACGTCCAAAATGAATGAGCACACAAAAATGCGTTTTTAAATTTTTTGATACTCATTTCGTAAGTTATGTATGCTCATTTGGTGGTAATGGTATGCTCATTTAACAGAAAGCTTAATTTTCATCTCAATAAATGAGGTTTGGTGCTCAATGAACATATGGTTATGTTAAACTAACAAATCTTACGATTTTCATATCAATAAACATTTCATAAGTTACGTATACTCATTTGGTACAGATGTTATGCTCATTTTAAAATGTTATATTAATGCATATTTTAAAAGTATCATATTGCATTAAATTCGCATATGAAAATTCATATAAGTGTATTATAGATATAATTCAATTAGTTTTTATAAAAGAAAAAATAAGGGAAAAATGAATTAGAAGATATGAAGCACAAATCATGATACTCATTGTTAGCCTCTAAATACTCAATAAAATATGTCAGATGCTCACTAAATGTACAATATTGCTCATTTAGCGGAAATCGTAATTTTTCACTTATATTACAAAAATGCCACCGAATTTTTTTTGGCTTGTATTGATTGTTGGGCTGTCTTTCTTATTTGGGCCGGGTGTACATACACCCGGATGCACCATATACGTACTGCATATAAATTGATGGAAAATTAGATTTATTGACAGGGGGTTGTCGTTAGCCTTAAAGCTTTATCATCTTTTACTTTTCAAATCAACAATGATAGAGTTTAATTTTAATCCATGATTTTGATTTAAATAATATTCGGAAAATTATGAGTATTACTTTTATACTTTTAGGAAAGTATTTTCATATCATTTATATATTATACTACCTCGATCTGTCCATTAAAATTTTGTCAAGTTTGACCGGCACATGGAATAATAAAGTAAAAACTGTGTGGTAGAGATTTGTACAGAGGATTTAAGTAAAGAATTTAAAAGGGAAAGTGGAAGAGTTAATGTGACATCAAAAAAAGAAAGATGACAAAGTTTTAAGCGACGGATGGAGTATATAACTTCCTATAAAAAATATATAAGTGGTCAAAGGTTAACTTTTTTGACCAAATTCAAAAATGAGAATGTTTCAAGGACGGAAGAAGTACAATATCGTTAAGAAAGTGGAATTGTATGGTTTAGAATTGTATGGAATTGTATGTTTCAAAGATTACCTTTCAAAATTCATATAAGGTTTTGCAAGGGGTCAAGAAAGTGGAATTGTATGGTAGAGAATTGAGGATAAGTAAATGTGTAAGAATGTGTAGAAAATTCTACGGTGGGATTTTGGAGCCAAGAATCGGAGAATCGGACCGGACCGAACTGTTATGACCCGGTTCGATTCGATTCCAACATTTATTAATTACTTATTAATGGTTCGATTTCTATTTATTAATTACGATGCGGTTCTCGATTCCTGAAAAAATATGTACCTAGAACCCTTAAGGAACCGTACAAAAAGGTTCCTTATTATATACTAATATAATAAGGTACTTGTGGTTGATCCTGTTTTCAGATATAGTCACGTGTTTCATTTTTTATTAAAGTGGTTCATGTGGTTGAATTCCGTTATCACAAGGGGGTCACGCCGTTAAAAACGTCTGAGAAAGACGGTTAATAGTAACTCCGATTTTCAAAAGTGCCCGAAAAATTAAAAGAAAAATACCGGAGGGTGCGCCACAACAAGACGACCGCTACACCATCTTTCTTTTTTGTTTTTAGCCACCCTTGTCACAAGAAAGTCCATCGTAAAAACGATTCAAACATATCTGAAAAATCCAAAGGCGAAGGTGGTTTCGAGGTCATCTTGACGAGACGCACCTTTCTGTGTTTCTTTTAATTTGCTGGGCACTTTTGAAAATCGGAGTTACTATTAACCGTCTTTCTTAGGCTTTTTAACAATGTGACCCTCTTGTGACAACGAAATTCAAACACATGAATCACTTTGATAAAAAATGAAACACATGACCCTATCTGAAAATGGGTCCAACAACAAGTATCTTTTCTGTATTTTCCCCTATATTCTATTGTATATTTACTTGTTCATTTTTATGTAACACTAACTATTCTAGTATAGTTATTTAAGTGTTTAACATTTTTATTTATTTTAACGGGTTCCTCTAAGAGCATCTCTAATGTTATAATGTGCACGGTGCGCATGTGGCATGAAAGATAGCCACGTGAATATTATCAAATAAATTATCTTCTCCTTATTTGGATGATTTTATAAAAGTTTGGTAAGTTTTTATCTACAATGTTAACATCTACACGGTTTTCTTGACATCGTAGAGAAAAACTTACCAAAATTGTATAAACCATTCAAATAAGGAGATAGATAATTTATTTGCTAATATTTATGTGGCTACCTGTCATGCCACATGTGCACTATACACATTATAACATTGGAGATGCTCTAAGGCCTCTTAGTAGAGGCCTAGATGGTCGGAATTGAGTGCTCTGCTCGTAACCTTTGAGATAAATGAATCCTTTTGTCAGCTAATTACGTTATTGATTCAGGATCATAATTGTTTATTGTAGTGAATATGTTTTTTTGTTTAATTTACTCTGCCGTCGCCATTTGGAGCAATTTCCGGTGGGAAATCCTGATGAATGTTTTTAACAATTTTATTCATTAACTCTAGTTTACTCATACCGAATTTCAGCTAACAATTCAATTGGGAAGGCATTCAAATAAATTCTTGAAGATAACTGCGCTTTCAACTGCGCAATTATCTTCAAGAATTCATTTGAATGCCTTTCTGATTGAATTGTTAGCTGAAATTGGGTATGAGTAAACTAGACTTAATGAATAATATGCTCAAAAAAATCATCAAAAATTTCCACCGGGAACCGCCTCAAATGACGACGTCCGGACATAGCCTCTTATATAAAGGCTTATTTGACCTTTTATGGTTAGTACGTGGGCTTATTTGCCCATTTTTTCCTTTATGTTTTAAACTCAGCTTTTGAGGTTTGAAATGATGGTTAACTTATTTGTATTTATTGTAATTTTAAACGTCGATTTTTTTTGGACAAATTCAATGGTGATTTGTAAGATTTTTTTTTAAACTAGGAATCGTTAAATGACAAGAACCGAACCGTTAAAAATTGTCTTGTTCCATATCGGCTCTATAAAAAATTTAAAAAAACCGAACCGGTTCCAAGCCTAAGAAATTCTATGAGAAAGAGAAAATTATTTTGGGACAAAGGAGAAAAGAAAGTTGAAAGATAATTCAGGGATGGAGGGAGTATTCTATTAGGCTAATTACAACTTGGTCTGGTTCAATAAATTTAATCCTTCGCCTGTTTATACGTATTCACCAAGTTAATTAAGTTTTTCTCTACACCCCAGCACCACCAATGTACCCACTCAACACATTTTTTTTAATTAAATGCATAAATCCTTACTTATTTTATTACACATCATTTATGTGATAATTTTATTTTTATGAATAATTATTATTTAAAATCTCAAATATTCCGATAATAAAATAAAATA